ATTGTCATCTCTTCTTGGATTGTTCCCTTCACAAGGATGTAGTGACCATCTTTGTCTCTCTTAATTAGTTTTGGTTTGAAATCTACTCTGTCTGCAAATAAGATTGCTACTCATGCTTTTTTTCTGGGTTCCTGTCATGTGGAGAACTTTTCCAACCTTTTACATTCAGTCTATGAATTTCTTTTTGAGTTAGGTGTGTTTCTTGTATACAGCATATTGCCGGATTTTGCTTCTTAATCCATTCTGTCAGTCTATTTCTTTTGATTGGTGAATTGAGGCCATTAACATCGAGAGTTATAATCGATAGATACTGACTCATCCTTGTCATGATGTTTTGCTGTTGTTGGCTCTTTTATTTCTTATTTTTTTCCCCTTTTCCCTTTAGTTTCTTACATTGCCTGGTGGCTTCCCTCTGTTGGGCCTCATGGAGTTGTGGGCTTCATTGTCTTTTTCTAGGATATTGCTTAGAATTGTTTGGAGTGCTGGTTTTGGTGTTCATGAAATTTCTCAGGTGTTCTTTGTCATGGAAGTATCTAATTATCGCTTCTTGGCCTTTTGGCTAAGATCAAGTGTGGAAGTATATAATTTCTCCATCGATTTTGAAAGATAATTTTGCAGGATACAACAGTCTAGGTTGGAAGTTATTTTCTTTTAGGACTTGAAATATTTCAGTCCAGGCCCTCCTTGATTTGAGGGTTTGTGTTGAGAAGTCTGCCGTGATTCTGATGGGCTTTCCTTTGTAGATTTGTTTCTTTTCTCTAATTGCTTGTAAGATTTTGATCTTCTGTTGGGTTTCTGGGATCTTGACTATTATATGTCTATGTGTAGATTTTTTTTGAGCATGGCTAGTTGGAGTTGTATATGCCTCACTTATATGTATGTCCAATTCTCTACCTCTGTCTGGGAAGTTTACTACTTTTACTTCTGTGAACAGTTTTTTTTATGTCAATTGTACTTTCTCCTGTTTTTTTGTGGACTCGTATCAGTCTTATGTTGCATCATCTAGCAGTTGCTGGATGGATTTCTCATGGTCCCTTACTATTATTAAGAAATCTCTGTTTTCGTGGTCCTTAACTGCAACCCTGTCTTCTA